TGTCACCGGTCGAAATTCTCTGGATCATTATGATTACATCGGGTATGCCCGACATGGGCCTTGGAATGGAGGTGGCTGCCCCTGATATCATGAACCGTCCTCCTCAGAGTAAGCAAGGCATATTCACCTGGGAGGTGATTATCGACATCCTGGTGTATGGTATCTGGACCGCAGCACTCTGCCTAGCGGCATTTTCTGTCCGTATGTGGGGATTCGGTGATGGTAACCTAGCGCGTGGCTGCAACAAGGAGTGGTCAGAAGAGATCAAAGACTGCGAATTAGTCTTCCGAGCCCGTGCCACGACATTCGTATGCTTGACCTGGTTTGCGCTGTTCCTGGCTTGGGAAATGGTCAACTTGCGCCGGTCATTCTTCCGCATGCAACCGAAATCCAAGAAATACTTTACCCAGTGGATGTACGACGTCTGGCGGAACAAGTTCCTTTTCTGGTCCATCATGGCCGGATGGATCACTATGTTCCCCATCCTCTACATCCCCGTTTTGAACGACGTCGTCTTCAAACATAAGCCTATCACCTGGGAATGGGGCATAGTGGCGGTCGAGGCTGTCTTGTTCTTCATCGGCGTCGAAGCCTGGAAATGGGCTAAACGAGTCTTCTTCCGTCGCAGAGGCCGAAAGTATCCGCAGTTAACTTCGTTGGAAGAGATCCCGGGGCAACAATAACGAATGCTTTCCCTGGCCCGACATCAAACGGGGCCAGGGAACAAACCACCACACCGTCTTAACACGCACACATCATCGGAACACACTTACTGGCAAAAATTGGAACATCATTTCATGGGGATTGGGGATATCTGGGGGAGGTATTTGGAATGGATTGTGGGCAATTTGGGCTTAGCGACTGCGCTCCCCCCGGGGTTGCTTTCTCACCCACCAAACATGTACATGGTTCATCTACCAAGCTCTGTTGCGGGGACTTTTTTACTAAGAATAGAAACAAGCATGAGGTTAGTCTTGTAATAAATAAACGAATAATAATATACGGGGGTGCGTAGCCTAAAAAGATGGGGGATTTGGATTGATACACTCTAGGGCCGACTGTTCTTCGAGGTAGGGTGAGAGGATTGGCTAAAGAAGAGTAATACATTTATTCAATCCAGACTCTATTTTAAACCAGACTTAGAGTAATCCAGTCGATTAATCACTGTACCGCGATATAATCGGGAGGACCTAGACTTACACTAGCTCATTGCCCAGAAGAGTAACGAGTTCGTAGACAGCGAAGTTGAATCACATCGCCATACCCAAGTCACTCCGTGGCTACCGATGAATAAGAGAATTTGACAAAAAAAAAAAATTTCCCAGAACGCCTCAGTGACAACAGTAGGCCTAAGCCCATGACATGGCAAGGGCGAGGCTAAGGTCCAGGGTTCAGATCAAAGGCTAGTGTCACACATACACATCACACAAGCTGCGAGTACAATCGATCAATCAATGCATGAAAAAGGGGAATCAATCCTCATCTTCCGTCTCTGTGTCGGTGTCGCTGGTATCGGCTGCGTCGCCGTCGGTATCACTCTCGCTGGAGTCGTCGGAATCCTTAGACTTCTTCTTGGGTGCTTGACCTGTCTTGATCGCCTGCATTTGGCCGGCGATTGAGTCTAAGAAAGTGAGTTAGTAAAAGAAATAAAGAGTTTAGTGGGTAGGAGCTGAGAAAGACTTACCCTCGTCAGGCTCGCTGATGTCGTCTTCCTCTTCCACGGCGGCTGCCTTGGCAGGGTCGTCAATGTGCAGGGTAATTTGAGCCGTGTTGTCAAGTCCCAGGTAGCTGTCACAAATCATGTGGAGGATGAAGGTGAAGTCGCCGACCTGCGGGGGAGCCTGGAACTGCATTTTGAGAGTCTGGACGTTGAAGGTGGGCTTGCCGGCCTCGTCGAAGATCGGCTTGTCGAATGTCGTGAAGGTAAACGGCGGCACGGCCATCTTGCCCTGTCTGCCGTCTGCGAGGAAGATGTTCCAGCGCGGGGAGTGATCGCGCGCTAAGTACGGTGCGTGAGCCAGAGGTGGCTGGATGGTTTCAATCTTCGCCTCAACCTTCTTGCCGTCCTCCATCTTCGCGGCGCGGTTCTTGGCTGGCTTGCGACCCATCAGGGCTTCCAGGTCGTCCTCGTCGGGGTCAATATCTTCCAGGTCGAGCGGGTTCACTGGCGGCACAGATGTGCTGCCTGGCGGGATGAAGCGGGCTTTGACTACCAGCTGTACCAGACTGCTGGGGGTGATCACTTTTTCTCCCATAACCTTGAAGAAGATCCGCTCGGGTTGGAGCATGGGGAGTTGCTTGGCAACTGAGATGGCATCGGTGTATTGCTTGTCAGAGAGAAGACCAGCACCGACAGTAAGGCTGCGTCGTTGAGCCTCTGGCAGTTCCATATATCTCTGAACGGTGAGGTGCTCCTTAGAATCTTCGCCCTCTATAGACTTGACAATAGCATCGGTGAAGTTGGGAAGTTGCAGCAATGGTGATGAGCCCGGGGACACAGCCTGAATGAGGTTCTGAGACGTTTTGAAACCACCGACGATCGGCCCAAGGTTACCAAATGCGAGTGAAATAGCAGTGAAAGCTTCAGTGAGAGCAAGGGCAACAGGAGCCGCTTCATATTTTTCTGCAGTGGCTCAAGTCAGTGGTATGTTTCAGAACATCGTTGGGAAATTTTTCTTACCAGCATCCAAAGAGGCATCACCAAGATCAACTCGGCCAAGATAGGCCCATAACAAAGCCAAAGCCTTCCGACGAGAGGAGCTATCCAACTGCTTCAGCGCCTCACGGTCCTTGGCCGTAAGGAACGAGTTATCATCTGCCAGCACCCGCTTCTCGAGCTTGGCCAAGCCAGACTCGGCCCGAGCACCCTTGAGCATATCATTGAATTCCTCGCCGGAGGACAACGCGCTGATAATTCCACCTTCGGTAATGTCATCCTTGTACTCACGGAAAATATTTCCAGCGCTGGCAACAAGAACCCGCTCCTTTGTGTAGCGCTGAGATCCATACCACCACTTGCCGACAATGTAAGGTAGAAGGACGCCCAAAAGGGCACCATAGACCATCAGAACGTATTTGCCATTGCCATCCATAACAATGAACTTGGGAAGGGCAATGCCGATGCTAAAGCTCTGCTTGCCGTCGGGGTGACCAAATTGGAGGTAGTTGTTTCGCACCTCCTCGTCAGTGAGAGCTTTATAAGCCTTGGTGAGCTCCACAAAGCGCTCGTTGAGCATCTCGATAGTCTCGTTCTTGGCGGGGTCGGGGCGAATTTTATCGGGGTGGTAGATCAAAGACATGCGCTTGTAATGTCTAGAGATAGCCTTCTCATCTGCGCTCTATTTTCCGAGAAATTTAGTTAATCAAAACCATCTAGGTGTATTGGGCGAGCACGCGCCGAGCTGGATAACTCACTCTCGAGATACCCAAAATATCATAAGGGTCGTATGCCTTCACCACTGTCCGGGCGGTGACGACAATCAAGTAGACCATCCATGCCATTACGGCATATCCAAGGATGACCGTGACGATACGCTTGACTCGGCGCTCTTTGCGCAGGCGCTTGCGCTTCTGTGCGTCGATGAGGTCCGCATGTTTAGGTTTGAAATCGGATTTGATGCGGGGAGCGGTGTTCTCAAGTTCTGTAGATCACATAAAGCGGTTAGGGCCTATGGGTTACAGCTGGTATAGTCTTGCCAAAGCTCACCTTTGCTAGGTCGTAGGAGGTTATAGGTGAGAGGGAGAGTGACCAGGCCGGTCAAAGTGAGGATGAAGAAGGGGAAGAATTGGCCCTAGAAGCCAACGTCAGCGCTACTGTATCATTATTGGATCAAGTCCCATCCTTACCTGCTCATCATAGGTGTAGTCTGACGACATCCTGCGGCGGGTTCAGGATACAGACAGCGGTGGCCGCTGGCCGCGGAATTTAAAGATCGTGTTGCACAGGGCTGTTGACAGAAGCCACTTTGGACGGTGAAGAGAACGCGTTGGGATTGTTCAAATGAGACAAGAGCCTATTTAGAGCCCAAAAGCCTGACTCACAAGAAACAAAGGAGTGATGTAGGGGGAGTTAATATCGCACTTCCTGATCTGGTGATGACCGTGTCCTCAAGCAGGGTCCACTCACCGCCTGCCGTAAATAGTACACAATACGTGGCAGTTTCTTTTGAGGCTGCAGGCGGTGAAAGGACGAGAATCTGAGGTCCCCAAACATCTGATGTCTGCTTACATACTACATCTTTTGTAACTATACTGTGCATTGTTGGCATGTCTTATGATTCATGATTTTTTTTTTTCGGAGGTCAAAATGTGTTCATAATTTTTGGTGCGAATGAGCTCAAGGCTGCATATATACTAATTAAATACTCTCTAGGAAGAGTTACAGCCATGGTCGAATATCCAATCGAAACCACATGCTGCAGCCTTAATACCATTTCCTTTCAGTTTAGGAGTATTGACAGAACAGATCCGTCGCACACAATTCTCCCCTCATAACAAAGATAACCAAGACATTCCCAGTCTGCCCAGAAAAGGAGTTCAAGCGTCAACAACTCGAGGTCGGACGCAAACTCAACCAATCCAGACAAAGGATAGGAAGTATCAGCCAGAAAATGCCTATGACTCATTTTCTCATGTGTGCGATAGAATCAGTGGACCAGAATCCACACGGCCGGGTCAAGAGGGACCAATCCAATACCTCGCGAGAGGCATCTTCATTGCTGCAAGTCGGGACCCGGGATAATCCGTGTGATCTAGCGTTCTTGCCACTTCAGTGTGGTGTGGGCGCATTTGCAGTGGGCGACAGAAGACGCAGGGCGTCATGTTGTCGGTTTATTTTCGATGGCGTTTTTCTTTTGTTTTATTTGTCGAATGCGGGTTCATAAACGTCGCAAATTCGTAAAAAATCGTTTTTGGTGTTTTGTCTTTTTTGTTGACTGGAAAAAAAAAAAGTTGGCGGAACAATCCGTCCAGTTAAGTCTCCAGATGGAAACTTCAGACATTCAATCTCCAAGGGCATGGCCACTCGTTCTGAGAGCGATGTCAGGATTGGTAATTTTTGAAGTAAATCAGGAACGAGACTGGTACTCACGAGTCGATGTAGTCGAGTCCACCGAAGTACTCAAGCATTCGATAACAGAGGCTCACATCGTCGCCCGGCTCTCCGCCGAACAGACGAAACTGTGCTTCTTCCAACCCATCTGATTCCAGCCGCGAAGGGCGTTTACGGGTCTGCCAGGCTGTATACCCATAGTGCCATGATGGGGCGAGGGCGACTACCGGAGATCCACGTGAAATGCATGCGTCAGGAGAGTTGTCGGCAGACGCAAGCGCACAAAAGCTGTTCTGAGGTGTCCGAAGGGTTGATTTGATTTCCACGGGCAAGGTCGGATGCTGAGCGAAAACAGTGGGAGGTATGTTGCGGTTGCTTGAACGACGAGTGCGGCGTCTGTTATGCCTCTGGCCCATTCTCAGAAGTAGAGAGATTCAAAATAAAAAGAACTTTTGATATAGAGGGGAGCGACCATCACCTCCAAAGGACGAGATGAGGTACTGAGAAAGAAAAAAAAACCTCCTCAATATGCAGCAGGAGTGACTCTTTATAGAGTAAACTACGTGAGTCACTTAAAAGGAGAAAAATGGCCAAGACCCACTTTCTCGGTGGGACCATCCCGAGAGAAGATCTTTGATCACCTTTTTGATCACCTTATGGCTTTAAAAAATGGCGCCAGGTCCTTCAAGGTCCTACGCTAGTTCCAATTGGTTTAAAAGGCGTGATTTTCTTTTAGTCAACTGCCTTCCCATCGCGTCATTCGAGGACCCCCAGAGTGAGTAATTATTAAACTTTCTATGCTTTTAAATGAGGTGATTCGCCTCAGGGATGAGCCTCACGAATATTATGACAGTATGATATTATGAGCCATAAAGTCAAGAAATTGCCAAAATTGTCAAATATTGAAACAAAAAAAAAATTGAAACATCAAATGACGACTCCATAGACTCCATAGACTCCATAGACTCCATACTGCCGTGTCATGAGGTGATTGGAAAAGGACCGATGCCGGATTTCCTTAATAGTGCCGTGCGGACCGAATGACGATCGCATCAGGCAACAAAGACCTTTCCCTTTCCGACTTTACCCTAAACTGCCCTGAATCCCTAAATCTCCCTAAATCACCCTATAACTGCACCCCCGGAGCCTTCGTTAGTCTCCGGTCTAGGCAATTTGGGTAGCAAGGGATATTTCAATTTTTACACCTTGCATCGAACAAACCCACGTGTGCAACGTGTTCAACATGGAGAAATTTTTTTAGATGCCTTCAAGCTAGGCAATAAACAACTGAGTCATTTAAGTGTATTATGTATTATTATTTTTTAAATTCGGGAAGCTGAAAGAAATGCTCCCAAGGTTGCCATGTTAATTAATGGAGTGCCTGATCTGTGAGGACACTAAATATAGCCTTGAAGACCCTGCCCAGGTGAAACTTGCAATGTTCCCTCCTTTGTCTCCCCTGTGATAAACAGAGCAAACAGAACAAACACACATTAAACAAATGCAAACATTTTAATTTCCAGACTCTCCCTTGCAGCAGAATCACTATATTCTGGGTCAACAAACGCACTGTGTGGTACTGTGAAGCCTCCCTCATCCACTTTGGAGCTATCGAATTGGGTGAAAATGAGAGGTTCGTTGGGTTGTTGACCGCTGAGATAACACCATCTCTGACTTGGACTAAACGCATATTGCCCGAGTTCATTCCACCCATTTGGCAGCGTTAGACGTGTGGCGATACCCTCGTCTTGGATATTAACGGAGCTCCAGTCACAAATCGCGAGGGGATCCCTTTGGATGGGTTTCAATGGCCGCCAGACATTGATAATCAGGACTCGGTTAGCGAGGAGACGGTTGCGCTCCTGCTTGTCCGGAACAAGCGTTTTCAGGTAATGGAGTGCACCCCTAGTTGTGAAATCTGAGTGCACGCTGTGCGCCGGGGCGCGGTTTCTATCGAGCAAGGATCTATCTTCTGCAAGGCATCGCACTCGATTTGCAAAAGTGACTGTCCTAGTGGCACCAGTTCTGCGACATTGTTCAGCTTCTCGAGGCAAACATGGTTGATTCTGGGATCAGTACTGACATTTTGCGAACTAACTCTTCGGTCTTGCGGATGATCGCATCTTTAACATGCTCTTCGTCCGAGACCTTATCAAGCTCGGGCATTTCGTGTGACAGGTATACGAATCCGTTCTTGTCGAGTGTGTAGGATGATTCCTGTCCCCGGATATCCTGCACATGTACCTTGTGCATCTCGGCCAGCAGTTCCATTTCCTTGAGATTATCCTCCAGTTTACCATTGGCACAGTTGACTTGGACATTGTTGTCGACATCCCGGCGTCTCCAAAAGCGGAGGTCTGTGTCGACGTGTCTGGTTATGTATTCGGCGTTGTCTCCCATATTGGATATTGAGTATTGATATCGGAATCGATATATTGGTCCGAAAATGGCACTACTAAGGGTTCGCAGTGGGGAGATGCAGGCTTATAAGTACCTGTATTGTGGCAACCATCAAAAAAATCCCGCGGGCTCCGATTAATGTGCATAAACCGGGGATATAGTTAAAAATACTGTGTATAGAGCCCCTGTTGAGGGGCTTTATCCTCGCTTCCAACTTTATCAGCGCTCAATAGCGGCATTAATACGAGTACGAACCCGAGGTAGAGATCGTCAGCTCGTGATTTTCGAAATGCACAAATCTGGAATTCCCGTCATCTTGTTTGTATGACATTCGTTATAACTAATGTAGTCATCCAAATATCGCTAGTATATACAGGGCTAGCGTATAATAACTTCAATATGTAGTCACCGATGCTGGAATAAGAACAAGAAACAATTCATAAACAGCCAGTCTATCTTATAGGATATTTCAAAAATGAACGTCTCAAACTTTTAGAAAACGATTATTGAGCTGTTTCACACAAGACCTTCAGTGAACCCGTAATATATCTAGAATATGGTAAAGTCAAGCCAAGCCGAAATTTGACGAGTAGTCCCAGAACGTGATATATATCTACCGGCCTTAACTAAGAAGCCTAAATGATGATAGAAAGAAAAAGAAAACAGCATATTGCCTTGACTCGGACAACTCTAGCGAATGAACTAGTAGGAGTGTAGACTCATCTCATCGCTCGTCCTTGACCAGCATCAGGATTCGCCGAGTTTGACAGGTATCACAGATACAGCGCGAGACGTCGTGCAACCAGGAAGCCATTGCATTATTTGACGACCTGAAAATATAGTTATAGTTTAGATGAACTGACAGAGTCCTAGAGTCAGAACTGGGGGAATCTGTTGTGGATATATAATGGAAAAAAGACTTGTTTGATATAAATATCTGACGGACTAGAGGCAAAATTAATCGCTACCTACCACACGCTCTTGGATGATTTGCTAGGTGGCCGCGAGGCGATCGATCGGGATATACATATACCAAAGATAAAGCTATCGCGTTAGGATGAAATAAAGGAAGTTGTTATGTCGGCCTATTAAACTAATTTAGGAATGGGTATAAGAATCCAAATCTTGTCATTACTGCCTGCAGATTATGGCAAGCAACCCTTTGCCTATGCACTATGTGAGAGGAGATTCTTAGACCTAAAACAAGGACTTGCCAAAGCGCAATAGCTGAAATCAAAGGGAAAAGTTTCTTGATGGGTAAAGGCCAACAAGAAACAAACAATATCAAGTATCGGAAGCAAGATTCCACGGCTATAATTGACCAGGTCATTCATCCAGTCATAGCTAGAGTCAGGTACAAGGGCAGTGCATTAAATGATGTATAAGACGGTGTTAACAATGATCAAAGACCGTTAGAGGCAAAGAGGAAAAAGGAGACAAGATAGAAGAGCCAGGCCGATGACACAGAGCCCGAAAAGCGAGAAGGAAGAAAAAGGTAAATAGAAAGGAAGAAAAGCTGGGAGAAGGGCAAGAGAGAAAAAATGGAGAAAAAGAAAAACACAACCCGCTTGTACTGTACAGGGTCCCAGAATCCGGACCATGCCTGGCCACCAAAAGCCATCATTCCTGTCCAAGACGCTTGTGAGTAGGATCCAACTACCAGTCCAACCATTCCCCTAGGGAGGAAGGGACAGCTCCTAGAGCTGTCTACTTGCACATCCCTGAAAACACAGACCGTAGCTCCAAAGACATGCATAACAAGTAGGAAGGAATCGGAAGATTCGACTAGCTACCGTTTTAACTTTGACGTATTTCCAGTCCGTTACTTCTTGCGGTTGGCTCGGCGGGTAGCAAGATCGCCCTCAGCAAGCCATTTGCTGGCGTTCACCATCTGGACAATGTTGACGAACTGCTTGAAGGCCATGATGGGGAACGAGATACCGGTGATGATCCACGGCCAGGTGCTCTCGAGCTTGTTCGCACGCGCCATCTCGAGAGCACCGGCGCTCCAGGGACTGGCAAAGAGGCTGGCCGGCTCGGGGTGGGCGGGGTTTCCGGGCTGGGCGGAGGACAGCTGGGAATCAGAGACGGGCTGCAGGAGCGAGGGGGATAGGGTTGGCGAGGAGAAAGACAGGAGGTAAAGGCCGATGAAGAAGGCTTCATTGGCAGTACAGCAGATGAACAGAACGACCTAATAAAATATTGCGGATAAGCTTGTGGACGTGTACAATCAGTTCGCTGCGACGGTGTCTTACCTTGCTGGTGTAGTACTGGTACATAATCCAGCTACGGCTAGGATCAACCTTCTTATGGCTCTGGCTAGATCCGCCCATGCTTAGAGTAGCGTACATGTGCATGTAGTGGCTGGCCATGTCCAAACTGATGAGACCCTGGAAGAGGATGGCCCATCGGGGCCAGGCAGAGCTCAGGAAGACTAGGAGACACGCGGTGGTGCAGCGGTCGGTCACCATGTCCAGCACAGCACCGAAGGTGGTGGATTGGTTGAAGTATCGTGCTGCATAACCGTCCAGGCCGTCCAGCAGACAGGACACCGTGTAGAGAAAGGAGCAGGTCCGGGGGTGGAGGGGCATGTAATATAAGGAGGCGAAAGTCAAAAAGACTCGGGAATATCCTAAGAACGTGTTAACTATATGGCAACTTGAGGCTTAAAGCCACATCAGCGGGGCAGCCTACCGATAAGATTCGGAGTGAAAAGGAAGATGTTTTCCTTGCTCTCCTTGCTCTCTTCCCGTGCCGCAGATCTGGCCCTCTTCTTGGAGGAGGCGCGCTTTGAAGGTGTCGACACGGAGCCATTGCTAGGCGAATCTTCGCTTTCCTCAGCGGCAAGGGAAGCCTTTTGTCGTCGTGTTCTTGCGCTCATTGTGATGTGAAAGGGATGTGACTAGCGAACTATTTCTCTTATAGGTCGGGGACGTATGGATACCGAATATTTGGTCTAGGTGGTGTCAGCTTCGGGTGGTAATGCAGATTTAAAGAGGGAAAACACACCGTGTCAGCGAGATAAGAATAAAGCGAATTCACTCAGGATAAGGATAGGAGGCGTCCAGGTGGGAACTTTGCGAGGAGAAATTTCAACGATAAGGGGAGATAAGCGTGCTTTGTTGACACGCACTTGAAACTTGCAAGAGCTTCCAAGGTTATGATGAAATTAAAAGAAAGAAGATGAAAAAAAAAGAAGGGATGAAAGAAGAAAGGAAATTGTGGAATGTCCTTGCGGGTTACTCGGAACCTTGGACGTGAGCTTTCCCCACGCGGTCCACCTGGAGATGATCGTGATATTTTGAAACATAAAACTGTGACTTGAAACATGTAGTCAACAAAATTCAAATTATATCTCGGTGTGACCGATTATAATCGTGTGTAATTTGCTTTTATAGACATTTGAATTATATAAGGCTAGCCTAGAGGCATAAAAAAAATATGTACAGAACATAACCCCCAAATATATGGTATGGAGTACAACCTTGGAAGAAACCCATTCACGTCCGTGACCTGCGCGGATCAGTGGCATCCTGTCGACGCCACTCGCGAGACTCCCTAGTACCCATACTACCGACGCCGCCCTCGAGACGACGCTCCCACCCACCAAGGCGAACAACAAGACAAGTGGCATTGTCACCTTCCTTAGTGACCTCGGTTGAAAAGTTGACCACGTCACGCGCTCCCTGCTCCGGCGTCTTGGATTCCTTGACGATATCAACAATCTCCTGGTCAAGCAGCGTCCCGCTGATGCCATCAGATACTAGAACCAAGAACGAGAACTCGGCCGGGCCAAGCTCTATGCGCTTAAGTTCAGGCTCAGCAGAGACTCCGATGCGCTTGGACTGGACATCGCCAAAAGCGCGCGTGTTGGCTAACCCGCTCATGCGTTCTTCACCGAAGGAGTCTGTAACAAAGCTTGTGGCGTACCGTCGGAGTCGGGTTGCCTCGATCGGGGAGGAGGGGTGGTGGTTTGATGTGATGGGGATGGCTTGGCCAGTTTCTGTTGAGCAGAGGAGTATGCGGGTGTCGCCGACATGGGCAACTAGAAGACTTGATGGGGCAATGGGGTGCCAGAAGGGAGTTGGTGTCGGGGTCGAGATCATCGCGACACTTCCGGTGCTGCCACCCTTGAATCGGGCGCTTCCGCCGATCTGGGGAGACCGGGTCATGCTGGGCCTGTGAAAGATTTCATCTTCGTTCAGAGGTCTCTCGGCTCGGACTAGATCATCGTCTCGCTTAGCTGCTTGAGCGTTGACAAAGTCTAGATCCGCACGCAGGAAGGCGTATTCCACGACTTCCTCGATGGAGATGTGGTCCTCAATACTTGGGTCGGTTGTCTCGGTGCCATCGTAGCCGAAATGCGGCGGTTTGAATCTTTTGAAGTAGCCACCAACTACCCTTCTCCAGGTCTGCACAAGGTATTTCTCTAGGTCTCCGATTCTGCGTCGGTCACCTTCTTGCATCACAGGTAGTTCGCTAGTGGTGGGTGGCACTTCGGCACCAGGTCGTAGGCTGGACCGAAGTTCGATATCGAATGCCGCGTTTTGGATATACTCATGCAGATAATCCCTCAGGAACGAACTACACTCGGATCCGCCATGGCCATCAAAGATACCGAAATAGAAGACTTGTGGGTCTCCGCTAGCTGTTTCCGCACCGCGTGACTCCCGGGGGTAGGCCAAAGGATCGTTTTTATTAGATCGTCTAATCGTTAGCGAAGTTGGAGCTCGCTTCGCAAAGGCGGGGATGTCAATGACGCCGGCTTGGTACGTGTCTTCATTTGAGGGGCGGGTTCCGCGGGAGGTGACGGCGCCGAAATGGTGCTTCGCATTGCGGAGTGGAATTCGGACGACTGTTGTGTCACGGTCTATTAAAGCTTGGAAGGCAGCTGGGGATTGTGGGGTATCTCCGGTGTGAGGTATAGAGGCGGAGCGAGGAAGCTTATGGAATGGCGAGGACGGTCCACGGGGGTCCGGATGAAGCGAAGATGACGGTAG